ACGGGATGATCGAGGATGTTTATACCAATTGTGTCAATAAGCTTGAAGATAGCGGAAGAGGAATATGTGAACGTGAAAGATGACAGCGAGACTAATGCAAAAAGACTAAGCTGCCGACCAAAAGCTGCGATTGTTTTGCCACTTGACTGTTTCCCAGTTGGCATCATACAGAATAAAGAAACGAGATCCATCGAGTAAACAAGACGTAATAAATCTGGTATTATGCGATCACTGTAATGCATTTACCTAAATTAAATTGAGCAAAAAAGTTCATTAAACCTTGAACAATAGGGACGAATCTTATATTCTGTTCAACCTGCCAATCATATACACAAATGTGAATAAGCCTAGATAGATATTAAAATGGAAAAAAGCCAAACCGTTCTCTACCTCTATAAAATTCAAGCTTTAGGCCAGTTAATTTCAAGGATTATTTGGAGGCTTAAAGACGTTAAAATGATGCCCTTCGGCTCAGATGGTGTTTTTGAGGTGGCCTATCTTGGCTGGACCCGAAGAGGGTACATAAAGGACTCGAGCAACCTAAGTGAACCAGTAAAACAGAACGACCACAGACCAAGAGGAATCCGTTGCAGTCTTTTGGTGAGATGGACCACTTCTAAAAAAATATAAGCGGCCTCTGTAATGACACATCAAGAGATCAATCGAAAACTACCTTGTCATTTTATCTACTCCTAGTTTGGCGTCCGAAGAATGGAAGAAAATGAAACTTGTCAAGTAATATGCAAACCATATCGTGTAGCGATTCGCCGAGATGAAATGAGGCCCATCTGATGCCAACAAAAGGCGATTGGAGCAAGTGAGTGCAAGTGATCCGAGCTTTTTCTTGTATAGTCATTCGGAACGACTCCTGACCAATTACATTCACTCAGACTTTGGTCTACATGAAGAAATAGATGTTGACCTTGTTTTCGACATCGATGTCGGCGAAACGTCTGTGAATGTATCGAGTTCAAGGTCCAACTCTGGAAATTATCATACATAATATGGACCTCGGACAAAGTGAGTTACCCTTGGTCTTCCTGACGATATAACCAAGTTGCGAAAACAAGATAAAGCAACTTGCATGCAACGAAAGAAGACCGCGACCATACTAAGGGCCAGGCCATCTTAGCTTCCATAACTTCGATTAAACTATGAGAAGTAGTGTTGAGCAGGCCAACAACATGTAACAGGTTCAAGTGACAGTAATGATGAGAATTTTCAAGTGGAATTCATCATTTTCCACCAGATAATTAAGCTACAACTGGCATGGAGGTGCGGTACTCTTAAGTTCCATCTAAGAGCAATTGATGAATGCGGATAGGCATCAACTGGGTTCGTGTGAAAATAGAGCAAGAATAGTGTACGATAGGAGGCTGGAGAGGGGAGCGGTGTGAAAAATGCACCTGAAATTTAAGTCCAGGAGAGAACTTTTGGAGCAAAAGAAAGGTAAAGAGCAGGGCAAGCCATTGACCTGGAGGAAGCCGATGAAAGTGTGAAATTTAAGCATACAATTCGTATGAGCCAAACAGCCGCTGATTAGAGAGAGAGAGAGAGCACACAATAAACTAGTAAAACCATGAGACTGATGCCCCTTGATGCGTACAGCTTTTAAAATTCACCATTTCCTCCTATACATTTTAATTCTATGAAAACATTCGCCACTGCACCCAAAACATGTGTGCGGAGGGTAAATACAACTTGTATAACTATGCGGGCTCCAATGGTTACTTTATGCAGCTTCCGTCGTCAAGTTTTTCGCCCCCCCATGCACTTTTCAGCATAGAAACAGGCCAGCCGATCTTGACGGAGTATAGATCTGGATTGCATTTTGGCGCTGGAGAAGGTTATCGTGAAAGACATGCAATGATGTTCAACAACGGTCAGATCATCTTGCCTAGACTGTTGGGATTCGGCTGACAGGCTCTTTGTGATCCAGAAAGCCTCGCAGTCTCATGTCTAGAAACAGGCGGGTAAAGTCATGACTGAGTTGTATTCGACGGAACTAGAGCAGAGAGCATAAACTGCGATGGGCGGATACATTTTGGCCTATTCAATGAATGAAGACCTGGCGCCAACCTCCGAAAGGATGATACTTTAGCACCGATCGGCTAATCCAAGTTTGGATAACTTGCTTATCTGGGCGTCTTTAGGGAACAGACTCTTCCATTGTTGCTGCTCAATTCAGGCTGCCTCTTTTGAACAACTTGTTCTGTAAATTGTCGTGCCATGGTCGGGTCAACTGTTGCTACGGCATCGAGCTGGTTAGTCCCTTGTGAATGCCAACCACAAAGCAGTCTTCTGCGTTATCCTGACGCCCAGCAGAAGCATAAAAGTGCTGCCTCATCCTGCTTCCTTCAGACAACAGAGCACACATGCAACTCTCGAACGGGAGGGGACCCAGCATGAGTTGATTGGTGAAAATGCACGATTGGGCACCTAAAAAGGAGCAGACATGATCCCATTATGCAGGCTTTAGGCGAAACTTTTAATAGAAAAGGACAGTCGAGATAGATGAATATAGAAACTTCGAGTACTCAAATATTCCTCTAAAAGCGAGTTCGTTATTACCAAAACACGCGCAATGGACTCGGAATCGAACCGACTTGAAAGAGCATACTCAAAGCAGAACACACTTTTAGGAATGATTGGGCCTTCTGGGCAAGAGGCAGACCATTCCAGTTGTGAGAAAGAAGGGAACAGCGAAAGAAGTGAAGTGTTGGAAAAGACTGCCTTGCCTTAACATAAGCTTGGCGAAAAAAGACCAACACACCAACGTTGTGGTTCAACATTGAACCAAATCAAAACGAACTGTACCACAACATTTGTGGGTTGGCACACAAGAGACTAGGGCATGGGAAGTCATAGACTTGGTATTAGAGATAGAAACAGGATAGATGCGGCGGCGATGGAAGCTAGTCGGCTGACAGTAGGCAGTACCATGAGACTTACTCAGAGGTTTTAGCCTCGAATTGATCACTCAGACGCAGGGAGAGGGCGAATAACGCCAGATGGGGTGGCAGGGGTCGTGTGAAATATGTGAATCAGGGAGAGAGTAGACGGATCTTACGGGGCAAGAGAGAGCCTGTGATAAGGCCTATGAAAGGAGGACTGCGTAACAATAGGGCAGACTCTGATCAACATCCCCAGCACAAGGATGAAGGGGGTGAGAACGACAGTGTGGAGTGTGAATGGTTTTCATGAAAGCCGCTCAAAGGAGCACACCACACAACATCGAAATAGGCACAGTAAAAATGGAAAAAGTGAAAGTGTGATAGAAGGGTATAGGAAATGTGAATAGGCCAGGGCAGAAGGGGACGTACCACAACTGTTTAGCACACGTTTAGTCAAAGAATCGGCTTCACTTGTCTCTTTGACGAATTGTTGAATGCTGCTAAGAATGGGAATGTACCACGTGCACGGTCCTACCCTGGAAATGATGATGCATACAATGGACTCCGGACAAAGTGCGTTCCTCTAAGTCTTGCTAATAATACGACCGAGTTGTGAAAACAAGGTCAAACAACTTCAAGACCCAAACAATTCAAGCCGCTCTCAACTGGTCTATTTTCGCTGGGTCTCTGCAAGTAGTTCGACAAGAAGCCTAGCTAAGTTTGCTGGAGTAAGTGATGGAAAAGCTTAAGTTGAATGTAACATCAAGCCGAATACAAGAATTTGTAATCTATCTCAGACTTTTCCACAGTTTTCTCGATATGACAGACCTTGGCTTGACGGTAAATCACAGCCGGAGATTAGGCAAATTCCAGAGATCATTTGTGATGTCGCTATGAGAGGGAGGCTGGAGCAAATCAGTACTAAGTGCGAAAATCACAGTCCCACAAAACGAGTCCTCGATGAGACCATCAGAGCATTTTTCGACCTTGCTAGCCTTGAGTCGGAAAATTACAAAACATTTGATACAAGAAATCCCCGGTTAAGAAGGGGAAATATGACAACGTGAATCGGATAAACAAATGTTAAGAGACCATATTCAAGGCGACTTCTTTTCGGAAAAGGTATGCTGTCTTACAATAGCCCCTTTTGAGAGAGCATTCAGTCATTCAAGAAATCCAAATCACTTCTTCCGATTCAGGTTTTAATTGGAATAACGATAAGGTCAGCGCCGAAAGCAGTCAAGTACTTAAAAACGAATACCTACAATTGAAACTCTAACGAATTTGAGCTGTGAATGTGAGCGGCCGCTACAGGATCTCGATAACCGACCTGTGAAGTTGACATGCATACTTGATAAGAGTAAACGAGGCCAAAAGATGAGGCTCATTTCTGTGTGGCTGAGAACCCTGGCCGATGAGGCTGGACGCATGCAAAATGTTGTCCAAAACGAGACTCCAATTACAGCCCCAAACAGAACGCCGAGTGGACGGTAAAAAGGCTTAAAAACTGCTACATTGACTATGCTTTTCTTATTTAGCCGGAGCTTATTGATAGGACAATTTTGGCAGAGGTCAGTCTGAATTGTATTGGGGGGTATCTCAGGTAAGGAAATTTCTAGTGGCAGTTTTACTGCCAAGAAAACTACGGAAGTTATAACCCTGCGATTGATCTGAATGACCTGAACTCAGAAAGCAAACTAGCAATTGGCCATGTGAAATGCAATTGAGCGCTCATGGGCGTGGCCACATGCTGTCGTCCGTTAGACAAACAATCATCAAAGTTTTCGTGGTGAAATAATAAACATTGAAACCTTGTGTTCGGAGGAATGAGAAAGCACGAGGAAAAAGTAGATTCACCGAGAAAATAAAGGCCCTAACTACTAATTGGTGGCGACTCAAAATTAAAGCCTCTTTACATTTGAGTCATGCAATGGAAAATCCCTTTAGTTAGATCTTTTGATAGCCCCTATAACCATTAGTATAAATCTTATCCCCCTTTTAATGACTTAATTATTAGCTATTCTTTTCAAACGAATATATCTTAAGTTTTGAAAAGGAGTTGGGTTTCGAAATATCAATATATCCTAATTTGCCGAAGGATGGATAGCTTTAGAGGGTGTGGCGATTAGAAGAAGCAGAAAACCTAGATTTGTTGAGAAGGAGAAAGAACTTAAGAAAGAGGATCATGAAACACTTTGTATAGTCACAAGGTTTAAAGGGAATTGCCAAAACCGTCGACAAGTGAGATAGACGCCAAAATGCGCAACAAGAATAGAAAAACAAAATGGCCTCGATACGAAAAAGTATCTTGAACTTGCCCAAATATGGACTAATCTACAGTGTTGAGAAAACATAAGTCAGGTTGAAGCGTAGAAGGGAAAAAATAAATCTCGGGAAAACAAGAAGGAATCTATAGTTCCAAGTTAAAGTCCGGTCCAATATGAAGTTCAAATAAGTTAGGAGACGATGAAGGTTAACAGGACAGAAGGCTTGAAGAATGCTGGTAAACCAGAAGGGATCTTTTTTTGGTGAAAGGGAGCGATAAAATCAATCAAGGATCCACCAGACGATCAGGAAAAATAATGCGCCTTCTGAGTTTCAATGGAACAGCGAGTCAATGTAACCGGCTTGCGAAGAGGTTAGACCAGCGTATCAGAACTATAGGTGATTTGATAGAGCAATATTAAGGCGCAAATAAAATGAGGGAGAAAGCAAACGAAGGACTTCCACACAGACGCCAGTTATCACACCTTGGCATAGGTCACTTAACCAAGCGCTGTTTTATCATTTCGTGCATTCGATTTACCAAAAAAGTTAGCTTTTGGGGTCATGCCAAGGTCGCAACTAGTTCACTTACTTCGACAGAGGTGTCTGGTGGTAAGCCTTAGATAAGGAGTACATAGAATATAATGCTTTTCCCAACACTTGATTTTCCTAATTTAGGGTAAGAGGACCGTATTCAACAATGCCAGAATATATTTGTTAGTTATCATGACCTGCTATAAAATAAGGATCAAAATAACGCTCCAGAGAACAAACCTTGATACAGTGAGGACATTTTGCTTCTATTGAGCAAACAAGTAAGAAAGATTGGGTTTTAAGTTACATAGTGGTTTCACAACCACACAGAATTGGATCATTTCGACTTAATTCTAAGTAATACTCTGCCAACCGTCTGTGATCCTATTGAAACACTAAAAATGAAAACGAATAGTACCATTTGAAATAAATAACTCTTATTATTAAATGCAGGGTAGGTAGTTTGGCAATATGTTCAATTATGGGCAACGCATAGAGGCAGTTGGGCATGTATGACCTTTCTCGGTGGTCTCGAAGGCGTCTGAATGGTTCGTTGAAACAGGGGCGGTGGGGACGACTCGGGAAGCGAGGGTGGCAGCAGTAGAGCTTCGTCCAAGGTGGGTGATGCAACTGATGAGGTGGAAAGACCGCTTGACGTGGGTTGAACGCTGATTGGAAGTTGAGACAAATGAGATGAGGGCCTGCCAGTCCAGTCACTCAGCTTTCCAGGACTGGGATCAACATCATTCAGGGTCCGTAAAGATCTTTCGCCGCCGGAATTCGGCCGTCTCTGGCTATTCGGAGAAGATTTTAAACCCGCATAAGCAGCAGCATAAGCAGCGCCTAGTCTCATAGCAGCCTGCTCTACACTAGTCACGGTAGCCGGCGGATGGTAGCCGTTTGTCCAAGCCACCAGACTGGAAGCGTTGGGCAGCAGAACCAGCCGAGACGGTACAGCAACAACCTCCGGCGACCGAGGAGAGGACGGCATGTTATCGTAGCCGGAATTGGGTTGGCTCAACTTGAGAGATGAGTGTCCGTCCGGTACCCGCTCGCCTTCAGAAGCATTGACAACAACCGATGGAGGTGATATTGCAAAAGAGCGAGGAATACGGGGTGGAGGTGGCCTGGGAGGGGCTACTCGAGTCGAAAGTCGGGCGCCTGCAGAGGTCGCCTGAATCAGCGGGAGAGTCAAGAGAAAAACTAAAAAGAATGAGCACATCTCATATATATTATTTACTGGTTGTCTGGAATGATTACTTATAAACGAACCATAAGAAACCTAAGGTATGAAGACTAAGATGGTGTGGCCTTTTGTGTGGTCGCAGCCTTCTTTCGTTGTGCAGAAGTTGTTTGACCTTGTTTTCGCAACTTGGTCATTTTGGTAGGAAGACTCAGAGGAGCGCACCTAGTCCGGAGTTCATTGTATGCATCATCATTTCCACAGTCGGACCGTGGACGTGGTACATTCCCAGACGTTTCGCCGGCATCGTCAGTGAGTTTTACCATTCGTAGCACTATGTTACAAACTCGTCAAAGAGACAATAGTCTCTTTTGACTGTCTCACTGTCACAAGTCTTTGGTGACACACATACTCCTGCCTCGCTAAGTAGGACCCTAGAAATTATGATTCTCAAGCTGGATGGGAGAGTTACTTGAGGCTAAAAAGCCCGAATAATTCTCATGGTCAAACTTCGGCTTCACTTGTCTCTTTGACGAGTTGTTGTATGGTGCTCACTGAAGATGCCGACCACGATGCCGGCGAAACGTTTGGGAATGTACCACGTCCACTGTCCGACTGTGGAAATGATGATGCAGACAATGGACTCCTCTTCCTGCCAATATGACCATGTTGCGAAAACAAGGTCAAACAACCTCCATAAGAAACCTAATTGATTGTCATAGAAAATATAGCTTTGCCTCATCGACAATCCCACCACAGAATGCGAAATGGGCAAATACCCATTCCTTGAAATTCACACCTGTCCTGTAACTCAAAGGCACTCGTTTCATTGTGGCGTAGTGGTTAACGTGTCGAGGTCATACGGTGCAGTGTCATGGCTTAAGACCCGCTGGAGGTGCTGAGGTCGAAACTGTTGTCTACCTTATTAAAAAGCAGGGCTATGTAATATTCAATAGAAACGTCATGTCTATTCATAGCATTGCGGAAAAATTCAACTACAAGTCACCTCTAAACGAAATAGAATGAACACATCTCACAAATAGAAATAAAAACATTCGGTTACGACGCCAAAGATGAAAAGAAGAGACCCAGCAACTAATGAGGATGGATGTGTCAAATGATTATGTAAAATAAAAACGTTGCCAAAGGCAAAAATAATAGGTATACCAAAAAGTAATGTGAAAATTCAAAATAAATACGCTTATCCAGTGAAATGCTTGTCCTATATCAAATTAGCTACTCATCATCAGCATAGAGTACAGTTATCCCGCCAAAAGCCAACTTTGAAAATCTCATTATATAAGAAGAAACCAGCTTTAATTATAAAAATTCCCAACGCCCATATTTGACGGATTCACTATTTCGAAATATTTCACCCCAACTAAGTGCTAGCAAAACATCCAAAAAAACGATGGCCCTATATGTCGATTCGAGTTGGCAACGAGAATGGAGGATAACCCATCAGTCTAAATCGCTGTTCTCTTGCTGAGTCTGATTTACAGCCTGCAATAAAGCCCCATCACAGGATTGCGCTTTTTCTTTAAGCAGACCATGCTGGCAATATCGAACTATCAACAGAACCTCTCATTAAAGCAAATCTAATATTTAAGTAGTAACTGACCTGCAGCGAATAGTTATCTCATCTATTCAGAATTAAACACAAAACGCATTTAGTACCCGTTAAAATTCGTTTACGAAACGTTTCCCACTGTTT